CGTTGGTTACGATGGATCTGCTGCAGGTGGCGTCGCAACGGGGTACACCGATTACAATCGTGGCGCTGGAGACTTTAGTGGACGTGGAGCAGACTTTGGAACTGGATACACTGACCGTGGAGCATATGGTCAAAATGTGGGAAGTGCGGCAATGGGATACACATCTACAGCACCTGGAATGGGAGGAGGATATGGACCGGCAACTGGAGCTGTTGGAGGATATGGACCGACTGGAACAGCCGATTATGGTCGAACTGATTATAGCCGCGCTGCAGATTTTGGAGCTAGAACAGATTATGGTAATTGCGGTAGTATGTTTTATCTAGCTAAGATTATGCAATATTCTTAATTAACTCTTTCCATCTTATAACATCATAAGATAGGTTTTCAGTTAGGTAAAAATAAGAAATACTATTGTTCTAATATAAATATGTATATATCTTACAGTAGTTGGAGGTGGAATGACTGGAGATTTTAATCGTGGTGCACCAGGTCCAATGGATTACGGACGTACAGATAATTTTGGTGCAAATCGTACAGTTGATTATACAGCTAGAAATGATTATGATCGCACTGCAACTGGACCTATAAGAAACGGTGGTGGTGCGGTTGCCACTACTGGGTATGGAACAGGGTACACAGATGTAGGATATGATGAAAGTCACTGGTAATATATTTCATTTGCTTTTCAGCATTAGATTCAATTTTATTATTTAACATTAATAATTTAGTGTTATTAATACATTATCAAATACTCTTTTACTAATATATCTTAATAGATAATTTTGTCATTCTAAATAGTAAGTGAATTATTAAAGTTTTGAATTAACAGTTATTAATGAAGTGTAAACATAATTACTTTCTTTACAAGTACATGATTCATGTACAAGATGGTCTACAAATCTGTCACCACAATATTTGAGTTATTTCAGATAACTTAGTGAGAAAGTGTTTCAAATAAGAATTCATTGATATCAAATGAAGACTAAACTAACATAGATAAAAACTTAGGAAATACCTTCTTTTTTCTTGCACATTGAGGCCATCTTATGCGTTTTGAATAGCTCTATATATTTTTTATTTTATTCTTTTATAAGTACGTAAAAAGATGAGTTAGTTGAAATTGAATAATGTATTATCATTATTGGATCATAAATTAAATCCATTAGTCTTGCGCTGAATGATCAGATTTAGTTCAAATATTGCAGCAATAAACGTGTTATGAAAAAATCTCGGACATTTGAAAACGTTGTGTAAACGCTAATAAATTATAAAGCAAAATGTCCACTGCAGAAAAACATATCTCTTGCAGAGTTTTTAAAAAGTTTTAGCATAACAATTATGAATTGAAACTTTATTTTTATTCTAACCTGTAATGCTTATACTAATTTAAAATTTGCAAGTGCATTATACCTTGAATTAATTATGCTTGAGCAACATTTTGGTGCAATATGCAGGATAGAGTGAAAATAAGTTAACATATTCCAATTGTGTATGACAGGGGTTATCCGGGCGGGCCTGGGGATATGATGGGTGGGCCCGGGGGGGTAAGTCAGGGAGCTTCGATGGCCTATGACAGGAGGGATGGTCCCCCTGTTAATGATATGCCTCCATTTAACAGGCCAATGAGTACTGGACCCAGCTACAGCACTGGGGCACCTAGTTACAGTACTGGTCCTGGACCACAAGCAGACATGTTTAGTAGAAGACCTGGCAGTGCTGTTCCCAGTGGTGGATATCCACCTGTTGGTGGAGGGTAAGTAAAAAATTTCATTCATGTCATTATTTAAAATGTTATTAACTAGGTATCAATTTTGATGTTATCTAGAGAGCTATTTTATACAAACGGCATTCTACAATTAGATTAACCCTGCTGTTCTCCTTGGGTCTATATGACCCGAAATGAAGATTACGTTTCCATAGGTACTATGTTTTTAAATATTTCTTTTTAATATTCAACGTATTTAAATTTTGTGTTTATTGTTTTAATATTTCACATTTATTAGGAATAAATTGTTTCAAAATTTAAAAAAAGAAATCGGTTGTTACATAAGTAGTTTTCGGGTCATATTGATCGGATGTGCGAAATAATATAAAAAGTTACAAAATTGTATTTATAATCGTTTTGACTACTGAACTAAATTTATTAATTAGAAATTTTAGGAGTATGATATCTAAATTATGTTTTTTTGGGGTAAGCACCTATTTTATTCTCTCTCCATATGCAGTCCAATCATTCGTAGAAACGTTTCCAAAACCGTTAGGTGGTCGTTCACCCTTTGTTGATATCATCTCACGCACTCGGTACAAACACTTTTCTTTCTTCTATGACTTTAGAATCTTGACTTAATCTCTTCATTCACGCAGTTATCTGCCTGAAACACTTCTCGTTTACACGAAAAATTCTATCACTCTTATAATTGAGTGACAGTTAAAATTAGACTTCAATTTCATTTCAGTACTAGAATGTGAAGCATTTATATATTTTCATCGAGTGTTTATTTCGTTTTCTAAATTTTATTTGGAAAATTCGAAATCAGGACAATTAAATTTTTTTTTTAATTTTTGTTTTAGCTATACTGAAGGGTACGACAGACCAGATGCATATGGTCCCCCGCGTGGTGGTGGACGGTAAGTCTTATTGTTATTATTATTATTATTAAAAATATAACACTTCTTACACCAATGCGTTTTTCAAAGTGACACTGATCACACAGCGTTGAAGAACGATGTTAATTTATGCGAGTGATCGTTCGTTAATCAGGCGACCACGTTCTTTTTGCGCAACGTAATTCAGTTTGATTGAACATGATATATCTTAGTGTGCTTACGTTTTCATGCGGAATCGGAATAGGTTAAATATTTTCTGTAAAAGTATAAGGTGTGACACTAAGCGCAAGGGTGGAAATATTTCTTGATCGTAGAAAGCGTATGTATTTGTGCATGACAACAGCTCGAAATTGATTTCTATCGTCGTTAAAATACCAGAAAATCGTTTTGCAACTTTTTTAGTCTTGAGTGTAAAAGAGAACAGAGGTAGTTGGATATTCTATTTGAATAGTAACATATACATATTAATTTGTAAGCTAAATAGTAACGCTAACTCTTTGCACTCCAAGACCTTTATATAGTAACTAAAAACACCAAGACATTTTCGTATTATCACTTTGCCAAATTCTAACTTATCCACCAAAAAACGCTTTTAATTGAATTTTCATTCATTTTATTGATTTAATTTCTTATAATAAATAAGAATTAAATCTGTATCTTCCAGTATAATGTTGTTTTATGTATGATGACCGATGTTTTTTTTTTGTTCTATTGTAAAATTACAATATAAAACTTGGATCAGTCTAGTTCTGAGATACAGAAATATAAATGCACCAAGCTTAATTTTTTTTATTTTGTGTTGTGGAGTACATACGTCGTTATGGCAACATCTCTGGGACTTGTTATGTATATATATACATTACATGCCTCTACACTGGTATTAATGGAGTACAAAGGGTTAAAAAAATTCTGATCTATAAATTGAATGATACTTTAATTCAATAGTATTACAGTAGAGTAATGACATTTATATAAAAGATTGAAAATCTAAAAAAGAAGAACAGTTTCTTACCAGTTTGCATACTAAGATTTTATTATTAAACTATAAATAACCTAAAATTTGAAATTCTGTACGTTTACGTACGTTAATGATAATCACACTTTTAAATAAATTTGTGATTTCTTATTATTATATAAAGGTTAAAGTAGGAATAAGATAAAATGGAACACAAGACAAATATGTAAGTAGGAATTGATAAAACGATTGAACAAGCAGACAAAATGAAATAATTTTAGTAATTATCTTGAAATTAAAAGAAATAAAGAAGTAAATATAAAAACAAAAAAGGATTTTAAGACACTTCCTAGATAGATCCGTCACTGTTTCTTGCTTTGCTTTTATCAATAAAATTCACAGAATTCACTTTCAAAATACGTAAACGCATGTTATTTTTTTACTTATTTTATGCAAGAATATATCAGAAGAGACGGATATATTAAAAGAATATATCAATAATATTATTGTTCAAAGGAGTGAATTAAAAAAGAGAGGGGTAAAAAGCAACATTTGTACTTGTTTAATGAAAAGTATTTATATCCGTTACTACCTCTCTTCTTTTGTGTACTCTGCGGTAAAAGTACGCGAATTCAGCGACTACGTGATTCAAGATATTTGCGACTAATCGAACGATAGTTCGATAGATGCTAGCAAATAAACCGTTATGCGTTTAGATGCACTGCGCCGTTAAGCAACACGTATTCCGAAGATGCATATCATCGGTTTCTCCGTGTCATTAAACCGCATCTGTTTGATTCTTTTTGAAAATGTTACGAAAATACTACGAAAAATATATGCGTATTACGTTTCGTGACACATAGTGACAGAAGGGAGTCCGGGTTTATCGCTTATGAAAATTGCGTTGCGTTGTCTTGCTATTATTGCGTCTCTTTTCAAGAATATTGCAAGTGATATTGAAGCAGGTAACAGAAAACCTTCAATGATTTTTAAGCAATTCGAATTTCGAACGTTTGAACACGTGGTTCAAAAATATTCGTGAACACTTAAACTGTCGCCGATATACGTTTTTGCGACAATGGCGGGAAACGCCTGCGTGTGATAATAAAACAGCTTCAAACATGTGACAACTTATCAGACCTGGGCGTGTGTAGTTTTATTGTATTTTAATTTTTAACAAAAGCTTCGAAAGCTTTCATTTTAAACGCTATATAAACTAAAAGAAAGAAAGAAGTTTAAATAAGAAATTATTACATAATAATATCATTGGAATTTTTAATCGAGATAGATGCTTTTATATTTTTTTTCTTTATATAATAATTTCTAAAACGTATAACTGCGTAAATTGTTAGGGGTTAGCAAATATTCTTAGCGTGCATTAATACAATTTGAATTACAACAACTTTTTCTTAAGAAATGAATATATTTTAGTGCTTCTAATGGCATACTTATAAATATAATCAACATATCCTCTAGATTTTTTACATTTTTCATGGAAAAACATTTTATAGGAAATTAACTTATTGGCGGGACGGTTGACCGACAGCTCTAACTTTGCCATGTTCTTAATTCTCTCAATAGGAATCTTTATTTCTACACTTGAAAATATTGTACGTTGCATTAACATGTTTATTATCATTTCTTTTCATTTTGTTTAAGTTTTAATGTATTTTCTGTCTTAAATATTGAGGAAAGAGATATATCAACGGAACAAAAAAAGTATTCAGATAATAAATTTCTTTTTAAATTTGTGCTCACGTACAAATTATACGTAATTATCAGAAGATATTTTTATCTTATAATTTGTTTCCATCAAGTGTGAATGATTACAAAATTTTTGGATACGTTTGACGGATAATAATGTCGCGCATAGATGGGACATATGTAAGTATTTGTTATGTGAAAATAAATAATTGACAAATGTTTTACCCAGGTCTGGAAGTTGTATTGTCCTATTCGGCAAATGTGTGTTACATATGCGCTTATGAGAAGAGGAGAAAACCGACCGATGATGTCAGGTGTATCCATACGTGATGTCATAATACGTTGATATCGAAATGCGACAGTGTTGTGTTGGCGCTACACTGTGTTGTCGCGTCGCGTGGAAGAAAGAAGGAATTTCCAATCTATAACGTATTCGCGCATACCAGTGTTACATCTTATACTTTCCAGTTTGTTGCGCCGCAAGGCGATGAAGAAATTAATACTGCGATTTTTCATTTTTTGACCTTTTAGCTTCCCAGGTCCGGCAGACGCGATGCCACCGAGGTACTAAAAGCGTACTAAAGCGAATACTAAGCGCATGCGAAAGGCTCCCTTAAAAAATGCCTCTTTAGTGGTGGTCATTCGCTTACGGAGTCGAATACCTAGGAACTGCCCTGCGTCCGACATACAGAGTCCATACCATTACGTACGATACTATGTATAATGATAATAGATACGATGTAGATCTAACGTTTAACACACTAACTTAAGGTACGGTAAGAATAAGAAGCAAATCAATCAGCAACCATAATAATGAATGAATGAATAATGAAACTCGCAAAACCACGATTATTTGAAGAGAAAAGGAGAAGATGATTGAATTCCCCGATTGAAGTGAACGTGTTAAATTACATGGAATCAAGGAATTTTATATATACTGTTCATTTTTTCCAGCAGATAGTGGATATTATATTCTTTTTTTGTGCGATTTGTGTTCGTAGTTTTTTCTTGATAGTTCTTATATA